TGTTTTAATATTGTAAAAAACAGCTAGGTAGGAATACTGAAATGACTTGAAGCATATGCTCAGCTGCCATGCAGGAAGGGCACCTGAAAGGGAGCTGCTACTTCACTTACTAAAACTTATTACACGGATGTTACCCTGAAACTCTTAATGGTTGCCCAAAAATGTCAACAAAAGCCTTTCCCTTTGGGAAAACATGGGTATCTTCCACACGTAGGAATGGGGAACCTTTTCCTCAAGTTTATTTTAAAGGGATAAAGTCACCCAGAAAGGAGTGAGCTCCTCTGCCAGCCTATGGCCACGCTGTCAAATGGCATTACTGCCAAGGGAGCCACAGGAAAGAAGTCATGGATAACACACATAGAGCATACACAGACCTCCAGAAACCTACACAGATACAGGATGGGTCCCCTGCAGGATGCAGGACAGATTGAGTAAAACAAGGAGTCAGATTTTACTCTGATATCCTCCCTTTGGGAATGCCAGCCTGCAGATTGCAATAAAACAACAATTAACTTTGGGCATCTGGAAAAAGTTCCATAATCTAATCTGATAGTAAACTTATTTTTTCCTCTAGCAGTAAATGTCTTTAAAAAAAAAAATCCTGCAACCTTTCTTTCTTAATAATCAATAACTGCAAGAAAGCATCTGTTTTCCCTACCCTTATAGCAGCACACAAAGATGCATTTCCAAACAGAAAACACTTTTTTGGTTTATCTCTGAAGAGAAGAAAGCTCAGTAAGAAAAATATTTGTACCTGTACTACTACAAACAAAGTCAACATTAAAAATATGGAAATGTTCATATTCAGGGAGTTAGGACTGACAAACTTTTCACAAACTGAATAGGCAAGCCAAAAACCAAGTTCAAAATCTGGAAATAGTTTATGTGTATCATAATTTTAAGAGGATCAGGAGTCCTGTTAAATTCAGTGAGATAGTTCATGTTTCCATCTATATATTGTGTGATATCCAGAAAAAGACAGCTGGAGGTCAGCAGAATTTACCTTGAACAGTTTATTCTGTTGGCAAGTTCTATCTTATTTTATATGAACAAGAAAATTCTTACAACTCTTAAGAGAAATAAATTACTATGCTGCCTTTGCCAGTAGTCAGTTTGCACTGACTGAAATTCTGATTTATTCTTTTTGAGCAAGAGTGAAAATATAGGAAATGATTCCTCAGAGTTTTGAAGGAGCTTTATGTGAGTTTTGAAACACAAGCAGCAGAGCTTGCAAAGAAATAAATCCAGTGTCTGCTTCCCTCACTCCACTGCTGTTATTTAGGATTTAAAATTCCAGAAGAGAATTGTCATCTTTACAAAGTTGTAACTGAATTGGGAAACTGGGACAAGATGAAACTTGACAACCAAACAGTAAATACCTGCTACCAACCTTTAGGGAATTGCAAAGAAATGGTATTTACCTTGGAATACCTATGCGATATAAATAATTTTAATAGGATTGCAACAGATGCATTTGAAAGAGGGGATGAAAAAAATATTAGATCAAGGATAGTGAAAAAAACATTTTTTTTAATTGATTGTGCAAGAGGATGGAATTATCTGTGCTACTGAAGTACATGTAAAGGAAATTCAATAAAGACAAATGATCATTGTCCTCTGGTGATATTTCCAAGGTTTTACACTGGATTCCCCAGTCCAACTGCCTTTTTATTATCTCTGAAGAATAAAGATTAACAGACCTACAAAAATGTTATGATGCTTCTGATGAGAACTGCTCCCAGTCAATCCATTGTCTAAAATTCCAAGCACATGCTTGTGTGTTAAATTACATATTCAGATTTAAATGGATATAACTGTTCCTAACTATCTACATGGTGATTGTTCTAACAGGGATTAAGGTAGATGTGTGCCCTGGTGTTAATACACTGAATTATACATTTTAGTATTATTAGATATTAATTATATTATGCGTGCTGACTCTGTTAAATATTCTCGGTGTTTAGCGGGTGTAATTTGAAGGGGTACTGCAGCATTTGGATTTATATTTCAGTTTGCCACTGAATGCTGGAAGAAAACAGAATTAATTTGGTTCTGAGGCTAAAACCAGTGTTCATATCTTGAATTAGTTAATACATAAATGCCATTAATATTCAAGATTTAGGGAACTTTTGGGAGTATTCTTATGATGTCAGAATGCGGGGGAACCTCCTTGCCCTCTTTTTAACTCCCTGACAGGAGGGTGAAGGCAGGCGGGGATCGGGATCTGCTTCCAAGGAACAAGGGGCAGGATGAGAGGACATAGTCTGAAGATGTACCAGGGGAGGCAAACTGGACATTAGAGGAATTTTTTCCAGGAAGAAAGATCAGACATTGGAATGGGCCGGCCAGGGAAGCGGCGGAGCCACGGCCGGGCTCTTAGAGACTGGCCGGGCACTCAGTGCAGTGGTCTGGCCATGGACTGGGCTCGATGATGCCAGAGGTCTTTTCCACCCGGATCCATTCTGGGATGCTGCGGGCCCTGCCCGCCGAGAGGGAGCGGGAGCACCGCAGCCCCTCAGCGCTCCGGTACCGACCCCGCCGGGAGCAGTACCGGGAGCGGGGACGGGGCTGGCCGGAGCCATTTCCCGCAAGCAGCGCGTCCCCACCGCCTCCCTCAGGCGGGCAAAATGGCGGCGGCCGCTGAGGGGCGGGAAAAAGGGGCGGGCAGAGAACGGCAGCGCTCCGCCATCCTCCTCTTCCTCTATCTCCCAGCGCCGGCTCGGCCCCGTGCCCTGCAGCCCCCTGCCCGCTCCGAGCCCGGGCCACAGGTAGGTGCCATCCCCGCCGTGGGTTTGCCCCCCGGCCCTTCCCCTCCGCAGACCGCAGAGGTGTTTTTTGTACTCGCTGGGTGTTGGGTGTTTTTATTCAGAGCCTGCAGAGGAGGTGAGGGGAGCTGGGTGGGTGGGGAAGCGTGGTGGCCCCGGTGGGAGCCCCTCTGGTCAGGGGCAGCGGTGCCGCGGGGGGAAGAGGCCAGCGACCCTTCCCGAAGGTGATCCCGGGATGCGCATCCCATAACTGATGGGATGTGCGGTCCTAAATGCTGTGGGGAATGGAGTCAGCATCCTCCTGGCTGGAAGCTGGCCTGCAGCACACTGGGATCTTCAGCCATGGATGTTTCCCCGGGGAATCCTTAACCCGATGTGTAGGAGCATCTGGATTTTGTGGGATGCCACAGCCGCCCCTCCACCTCCTACCTCCCTTATCATCTCCAGCTTGGCTAGCAGGTGCTTTGTAACCCCTACCCTTAAACACCTGTAAGACCACTGAGATAAGGATTTTTAAGCCCTATGTGTTTCAGCTGCTTAGGTGGCAGACAGCTGTACACATACTCTGTAATCTGCTAAAAATAAAAGCAGACCAAACTCAGCTGATCCACCATCAGCCCACGTGGAGGATGGTGTTCATTTAGACAAAAATTCGTGCCCTCCTGTGAATTCCTGCCTGAATTTGTGGCAAGGCTTGTTTTTTTTTCTCTTTTGTAGTAACGAGGTTATTGCAGGGGAAACTTGTGAAGTGTTAAAGCCCTTTTATGGTGTTAAAGACCTTTTTCCATCCTTGCTGTGATAGCACCCAAGTGGCACAGATCCCCCCGGTGATGATGGACTGTTGTGTTAGGGCTTGTTTGGGTATCCAGGCAAGTTGTCAAAGTGGGGCCGGGCCTGTATGTCAGGAATGTGCGTTGAAGCCAGGTCCTGTAAACACTCACCAATGTGTGCAGCCTTGTTGCTAGGGCTTTGCACAGGAGTAAGACAGGGATGAGCCCCTCTTTGAAGTCCTGATGTGCTACCTGAGTAGCTGGAAGCCAGGAGAACAGCAGACGGAAGAGTTTCCATAGTTAGCAAGCTTCAGTAAATAAATTCACCTCTTTTTATGGCTCGTTTTGGAGCAGAGCCAAGTGGAACTATATTGTTTATGTGCGTAGATTCTTGTGTCTCACACAAAGATGCCTATTGTTTACACAGAAACTGTAAGGGGAATGTTTTGTTAACATTTGGTTAGCAATATAAACTGACAAACACAAATGCAGACTGGAACTTGGAACAAAAATAGCCCTTCTCAGAGCAGAAAAACACAGCTGCCCAAAAACTGTTTTTCAAGGAAAACTCTGCACCTATTGGTTCTATATTTTCTTTTGCAACTCAGCTTCTGTCATTTCCATGCCTGTAAATCTTCTACTGCATGTAACTATACCAGCAACTTAAGCTCCATGCCCATTTTTCTAAAGAAGATTGATTCAATTGTGATATTTTATAATTACATTTGAAATTTGATTTTAGTTGGGTGTGTCACTATTACATTCTCAAATTCCTGAGCTGACTGGGATAAATTCCCCTGTCCATTGTCAACATGTGTCTTTTCCATTAGTTCCAGTAGGACTGACTGCTGCCTTCTTACATATGAGAAACTTTCAGTGGCTTAAAGTAGTTGGACCAAAAAAACTATGTTTTTGCTATTTTATTGAAAAAAAAACCAAAAAATCCACAGCCTACATGAAGAGTGGTTACAGAGCCTGTGGGGTCCTGCTTTCCATGATGGAGTGTATTGACTTAGTGGATGTGGAATGTAAATTTTCAGTCATGATAATGCATAAAATCTCATTTTCACTGTTTCCAGCTTCATTCCCCAATGATCAGCATCTACCAACATTCAAGTGACTGATACTGTTTAAGTAAATGGGGTGAATTGTTCTCAGAAGGGTTCAGAAATGTTTGGTATTGTAGCAAAAAGGGATCACAGTAGTTTGAGGACTCTGTGGCAGCCAAATGTTTAATTTTTAATGTCTCACCAGTGATGGCAATGGGTATTCATCAGATTGTACAGCTCCAGGGGAAAAAAGTCAGAATTTCTGTCCTTGCACATCTCCTAATGCACACAATGTCTTTTATAGAGTTATTATTAATGACAATGGGACTGCTTGTTTGTGTGCTGTTTTTTTCACCCTATTTCTTAGCTTGAGTATTTCTGCCTGTCACTCATAAATTCTTGCTTTCATGATTAGTAGCACTGAATTATATTTGAATATCACAGTTACCACCTTACATTCATTGTTCCTACATTGCCTGATCCCCTCTGAATGAGCGTTCAAACCTATTTTGTTTGATGGGTCACTGTAAATGTCTTACAGGTATCTTTTTTTCCTTTCTTTCAGCTTTTTCCATTGGCACCATGAAGAATATATCCTAATTCTGCTACAACTCACAAATATTGTGTTTGATTTTTTTTTTTTAATTTGTAAGTTTTAGAAAGCAGAAAGTGAACTGCTTATTTTAGTTAACACTGAGATCATATCCTGCAGCAGGGCTGTGTAGGGAGGATGATAACAATGCTGGTGTGGAAAACAATTTGTAACACTTTGACTTATTTATGTAGAAAAAGCTTTATTGCATAAAGTTTTCATTTTCTTTTTTTGCTCTCTGTGCCTGAGTCCCTGCATTGTGTGGCTGTTCACTGAAAACACAGACTCAGTGCACAGAGATCCTTAACAGGATTTGGAATTGGAGGTCTGTGCCAAAGTGTGATTGCAATCAGATTGAGTGGGAAGAGTGTCGGTTTTAGGAAGGTATTCTGATGGGGAGATGGGTTGGTTTTGTCACCTCCCAAGAACAGATTATATATTTTTATTTGCAACCTTCAGATGGAAGAGTGTGTTCACATTTTAAAACAGATGTTTGCTTATTGTATTCTGAGAAATTCTAACAACAACATGTCAGAATTCCACTGTAGCTTGGTAAATAAAAGAAGACACAAGAATTCCCTGGGTTCTGAGTTCCACAATCAGTAATGTGTCCATGTTTTCCTTCCTGTTCTCCTGCAGGAAAGATGATCCCCAGCCAGCCCTGCTGAGCCACAGGATGGGGCCAGATGTCCCCCTGCTCAATGACTACAAGCAGGAGTTCTTCCTGAAGCGCTTCCCTCAGACCCTGCTGGGAGGCCCCAGGTTCAAGTTAGGCTACTGTGCCCCTCCCTACATCTATGTGAACCAGATCATCCTTTTCCTGACCCCATGGCTCTGGGGAGGAGTGGGGACACTCCTGTACCAGCTGGGGGTGATGCAGGACTTGTGCACAGCAGCCCTGTCAGGAGGGCTCATGTTTGTTACTGCCCTTGCTCTTCAGATGACAAACCTCTATGCAAAGCAGAAAACGGTGACAGTAGAAAGAATGCAAATTCCAAGTACCCTGACAGATGAAGACGAGTTTGAATTTTCCAGCTGTGTAGGTTCAGAGACAGTAAAATTTATTATTCCTGGCAAGAAGTACATAATCAACACTGTATTCCATTCCCTTCTGGCAGGGGTATTGTGTGGGCTGGGAGCTTGGTATTTGCTGCCAAACAGAATAACCTTGTTATACAGCAACATTGGAGGAACTGTTGTGATCTTTGTGTTTGGATGGGTGACCATATGCATAGGAGAGTATTCATTAATCATAAACACAGCCACTGAAACAGCCACTTTCCAAGCACTGGATACTTATGAAATCACTGCTCTGATGAGACCTTTCTACATTTTTGTCTTTATTGCAGTGGATCTTGCACACAGGTAAATGTAATAATGCATTTAGCCACTTGAAGTGATGGTTATTCTGTGTATTTTTGATGGGAAAGGTTAAATTATTCTTCCGAGGAAAATTTTATTTTTAGATTCTAATCAACTGTAGTAACTTCAAAGGAAGAAAATTGATGCATATATGATAAAAATTGAGGTTCTATGCTGTGTATAAAAGGCTCTTAAATTTCCATAGCATCCCATGTAAACTAGGAAGAGCAGTTTGTAAGAGATAGGTTAAAACCATCTTGTACCATGTCATTTTTCATATTTTTGTATTGGAGCATTTGCAAATATATCCTTTTAAAGGATGTGTTTTGAAAACACATGTTCCTGACCTGGAATCATAAATCTAAACACTGCAAGCTTCAGGATTACTGGATTTATGTCCAGATTTCATCCTGGAATACTTTCTAATTTCAGCTCTGTAAAGTGATAGCAGAGGCTTTTATACAACAAGCAAAAAAAAAACCCCAGAACCTCTGAATTTGGTTTTAATGAATGGATAAGCAAATGGGAATATTGCTGTGGCTTTGTGATACAGATTTGGAACTTGGATTTTTAAATAGTTTTCCAATAGAAAAGAGCTGTGTCAGTCTACAAATTAGGAGAGTCACATTTCTGTTTTTCAGATGAGTGTCTTAGCTGAAGTATTTGTAGAATCAGGATCCTAAAACAAGATGCTTTTAGATTTATTTTCTGCATTCTTTCTCCCTGTCAGGTGATATTTATAGCACTTTGTCACATGTACATATTTTATGGTTACTTCAGATACATTAAACAAAGCATGTTTGAATTTGCTGGTTTTGCACTGGGAGATGTCCTTGTTAATGATTTACCCTAATTGCCACCTCAGGTGAAGTATGAGAATTATACATGTGGTCTTGGACTCCAAATTTTTCTATGCAATTTCCTGAGGAGAAGTTTAAGACATTGTCAAAATTCCTGATAAAATTTCTCTGAGGCTTGCTTACGTATTAAAATGGAGAGGGAAACCAAATATCTTGGCAGTCTACCACCTTTAGTTGGTAAACTACATCTAGGTTAGAATTTATGCAAATTTCTAATGCTGATCTTTGTGTTTTTGCAAGAAGATTTTGACATTTTTATGTAGAAATATATTCCCTCTTTAGGAATATACAATATTATCTGTAGGTGTACAGGCAACATGCCAGTTCTTCTAGTGTTAAAGCTTAGATCTTAGGCCTTGAAATTGCATAAAATTTTACTTTTGTGTCTCTGAAAAAATACTTTATAATTTTTTGTTAAACAGTTGAGGCCTTGGAGCCTGTGGACTTTTCCTTTTTGCACAAGTATTTTTTCAGTGTATTATCACAGCAGTAACAAAATAATTGGGATAATTGCATCACTGTATTCATCTGAAGGCTTCAAAGCTTTTAAATGAAAATTTAGTCTGTGTTCTGGTGTTCTAATTAATGTTTTACTGTCCTAAGCTTAAGTAAATGTCTTTATTTTTCCTTTTAAAAGATACTCATTAGGTTTTATAGGTTGAATGTGTAAGGTTTTTACTTTGGGATTTGCTGTAGTAATTAAACAGGAAGTCTTCCCACACTGAAGTTATTTTTCCTCTCACAGAATTCAAATCTATTCCTTCTTTTATCCAGGTTTGCTGTCAACACACCCATTCTAGAGCAGACAAACCAGATTTTGCACATCCTGTTTCTTTTTCTGCCATTCTTGTGGGCCATGGGAATTCTGCCCCCTCTTGATGCACTTTTTCTCTGGGGAATGGAACAACTCTTGGAGTTTGGACTAGGAGGTTCACCTATGTCAAGTAACACCAAGTAAATGTTTCTACAATTGTAAAATATATCAGTGTTGTTTATAACCTTTTTCTTTTCAAGCAAATCTTCTTTATTTTCTCCTTCACAGGTTGTTAGTAATGTTTCTCATTTCTGCTGGAACAGCAATAGCATCGTATTTCATTCCCAGCCCCCTCGGTGTGATCCTCTTCATGACTGGATTTGGGTTCATGCTGAGTCTTAACCTAAGTGAGATTGGGTTTGCCTTCAAACACACCATGATCAGCCATTTAGCCTCCAGCAAAGCTAAAAATGCTCACAGGGCTCTTAGAATACAATTTGGGTGGAGGAAATTAATTTTCTATGTGACTGTGTTGGCATTTGCTCTCACAGAAGCAGGCCTGCTGCATCAATTTGCAGGCTCCTCATCATCTTCCCAAGGCAGACCCCAGGCCATAGCAAGTTACATTCTGATCCTGTTACTTGTAATGATGTGGATTCTTAGAGAGATTCAGAGAGTGTACTTGTTTGGAGTCTTCAGAAACCCCTTTTACCCAAAGGATGTCAGGACTGTGGCTGTGTTCATGGAGAAGCAAAGAAGGCTAATGAAAGTTGGTGTTGTCAGGAGGATTTTACTAACACTAGGTAGGAATGCACCACTGTCTGTTGTTTGTTAGATGATGCTTGTAGGGAGATTGAAACTCTAGAATTGCTCTATGTGCAAGATTCTGGGAATGAACCAAGGGAAACCAAGTGGCTGGAAATACTGTTGATGTCTTGTTAAATTGTGCATTGAGGTCAAAGTTACTGGTCCAGCGTATTTGAAAGTGATTAAATTTGGAAGTGATTTGATTTATTTCTTTTATAGGGGTGAACCTAAAAAATTGATCCTTTTAAAAGCCTAGCTGAGAAAGCAGGGCCTTTTAAAGGATTTTAGTTACAACTGCAGTACCAACTTTTAAAAATATGTACTTGGAAACAAAATGCTTTGAAAGTCTTCAAGCTGACCAAATATTTGGTTCTTAGAGCTTGCTGGTAAAGGGGAGAGCCTCCATTCTGGTAGGTTGGAGACAAATGCATCTACTTTGAGGGAATAAAAATGGATTTAAATTATTTAACTTCATAAAGAACCATTACTTTGGGGAAATACATTGATGACTGCTATTCCATGTTTGTTTTTACTTATTTGAGTATTCTCTTGAAGAAACAAATAAAGGAACTAATAGCAAGCACGAATTAAGCATCCATGTAAATGTTTGTTGTCCTGGGCCATTAGTGCAAATAAATTGTTTGATAACGTGGGAGTGTAACACAAAGAGGAGTTTGTGATGATGAAGGGAAGGTTTCTCTTTTTTGCTGGGATTTCCATCCTGAAATAAGACTGCTTACCTCTGTTTGCTTTTCTTACATTTTTGGAAGGTCAGTGATGCTTTTGTTTCAATTGCAGTGTCTCCGTTTGCTATGATAGCATTCCTGTCACTTGACCATTCCCTACAAAACCTGCATTCCTTGTCTGTTTCCATTGGATTCACAAGGATGTTCAGAATGGTAATTTGAATTTTAAACATGTTAGCCTTAGAAATGCTCTTCTACATGACTTGAGAACCAAGGTGACCTGGAAGAAATATCCCAGGTCATGAAAGCAGAGATAAATAGATATGTTTTTTAATGTATTTCTAACATATCTCTATTCTAGGTCTGGCAAAATACAGAAAATGCCTTACTAGACATGGTGGTTGTGTCAGCAGCACAAATGTTGGTGGTTAATCCAGACCTCTGGTGGAACAGGAGCCTTGATACAGGAATCAAACTCTTGCTGGTAATTGTAGGAGCGTCGGGGGTTGGGAGGAGAGAAGAGATCTGTGAAGCCAGGTTGAGGAACTTGTGGGTTATTGCAAAGGGCCTGGGTGGTTTATTGCAAAGGTTCTGGGTGCAGGGGCACTGCTTGGAACTGCCAGCTGCAGCTCAGAGCAGGCCTGAGAGAAGAGAGGGGGAGAGGATGAGAGGGTGAGAGAGTAAGGGAGTAAAAAAGGTAAGAGAATATAAAGGGTAAGGGAGTGAGGTTCCCGCTACAATATCATAAATCTTCTTCTGTGTTGAATATTCTAATTCTCACTAACCAGTCTAGTACAATATACAAATCCTATAGCATTTACATACAGCCTATAAGAATCATTACATTACCAAACTGTGTTAAATTTTAAACCCTAAAAACTCCTCTTTGGGCCCCTTCTGCCAAGCTAGTAGGGTCTGCTCTGACCCTTGGGCCTGCCTGCAAGCAGAGGGTGTTGTTCCATCAAAAGGGGATCACCTTCAGCTGGCCACACCATTGTTTTCCAGTTGTTCAGTAACTGAGGTATCTCTAAGCTTGCTTTCATTTCAATCTCACTTATAGTTTCTATATTATCAAAATCTTTTGCCTGACAATCATATTTATAAGGCTTTCCTGTTTCTTCTTCCCCAACAGGTAATGGTCATATTGTAAAATTAAGCAGATAATTGTTTTCTGAAGTATCTATTTCTGTTGGAGAATTACAACAGGGGCCAGAACACAGCAGACAGAAGCTAAAATCTGTACTAAGATATATTCTCACACCAAGGAATGATAGCCATGCTTCATTTTCTTAAAATTACTGTAGCTATCCTACAGTATGCAGCTATGCTATGGCTACATACTCTATGTAGTAGAGTGTGCTGCAGGCTACAAACCCTGTTCTTCCTGCCTGTGTGCCCCAGGTCGTTCTCCTGCGGGATCGGCTGCTGCAGTTCCTGTCCAAGCTGCACTTTGCCATGGCCATCCTCCTGTACTAAGATATATTCTTACACCAAGGAATGATAGCCATGCTTCATTTTTATAAAATTACTGTAGCTGTGCTACAATATGCAGCTATGCTGTGGCTACATACTCTATGTTGTATGCTACAGGCTACAAACCCTGTTCTTCCTGCCCATGTGCTGTAGATCGGCCTCCTGCGGGATCGGCTGCTGCAGTTCCTGTCCAAGCTGCACTTTGCCATCACCATCCTCCTGTGCTAAGATATATTCTCACACCAAGCAATGATAGCCATGCTTTATTTTCTTTAAGTTACTGTATCTGTGCTGAGTGTGCTGTAGGCTACAAACCCTGTTCTTCCTGCCCGTGTGCTGCAGGTCGGCCTCCTGCGGGATCGGCTGCTGCAGTTCCTGTCCAAGCTGCACTTTGCCATGGCCATCCTGCTGACCTCGTGGACGGAGAAGAAGCAGCGCCGCAGGTCCAGCGCCGCCCTGATCGCGCTCAACGTCGCCTTCTTCCCCGTGCTGCTGGCCCTGGTGGCCGTGTCAGCGCTGCTCTCCTCGCCCCTGCTGCCGCTCTTCACCCTGCCCGTGTTCCTGGTGGGCTTCCCGCGGCCGCTGCGGAGCTGGCCGGGCCCCGCGGGCGGCACCGCCTGCGTCTGCCCCGACACCGTCTACTACCGGCAGCTGGTGCCCGGCCTGGCCGCGGCGCTGCAGTCTGCGCTGGCGGCCGGCGGCCTGGGTGCGTACGGGGAGCGCTCTGGCATGATGCAGATAAATAGTGCAGGAAATGTGGTTTGCCAGCCAAAACCTTGGGGTTGGATCCCTCCCAATGCCCCAAAACCCTTGGGATCGGATCTGTCCTAACACCCTAAAACCCTTGGGATCAGATCCCTCCCAATGCCTTAAACCCCTTGGGATCGGATCCCTCCCAATGCCCTAAACCCTTGGGATCAGATCCCTCCCAGGGCCCCAAACCCTTGGGATCAGATCCTTCCTAATGCCCCAAAAGGCTTGGGATCAGATCCTTCCCAATGCCCCAAAACCCCTGGGATCAGATCCCTGCCAATGCCCCAAAACTGTTTGGATCGGATCCCTCCCAATGCCTTAAACCCCTTGGGATCAGATCCCTCCCAAGGCCCCAAACCCTTGGGATCAGATCCTTCTCAATGCCCCAAAACCCCCTGGGATCAGGCCCCTCCCAAGGCCCCAAAACTGTTTGGATCAAATCCCTCCCAAGGCCCCAAAACCCTTGGAATCAGATTCCTCCCAAGGCCCTAAAACCTTTGGGATCATATCCCTCCCAAGGCCTTAAAACCCTTGAGATCAGATCCCTCCCAAGGCCCTAAAACCCTTGGAATCAGATCCCTCCAAATGCCCCAAACCCCTTGGGATCAGGTCCTTTCCAATGCCCTAAAACCCTTGGGGATCAGATCCCTCCCAACTCCCCAAAACCCTTGGGACCAGATCCATCCTAATGCCCAATACCCTTGGGATCAGATCCCTCCCAAGTCCCCAAACCCCTTGGGATTGGATCCCTCTGAAGGGACGAGAATCTGTGGTTGAACACCAAGTTTCACAGCTGGGTTAAATCTGATATTCAGAGATTGCTCAGGATGAAGTGGTTACTTTTATCCTTCCTGTACAACCAACAGTAGGACAAAGGGTTAGAATAGAACAGCTACAAGTTGCAGCAGGGGAGGTTCTGGTTGGATTTTGGGAAAAAATTCTTCCCTAGACAAATGGTTAAGCACTGAAACAGGCTGTCCAGGGAGGTGGTGGTGTCCCCATCCCTGGGAGCATCCAAGAAAGGAGGAGATGTAGCAGTTTGTGAAATGGTTTCATGGACATGGTGCTATTCAGTCAAAGGCTGGGCTTGATGATCTGGGAGATCTTTTCCAGCTAATGATTCTACAATGTCTGCTTGTTACAATCCTATAAAAAAAGAAATCTTTGGTTACCATTAAGGAGAGACTAAATGGGGGTGAAACAGTATCAATCCTAATCTTTCTGAATAAAAAGGATGGAATGCATTGATCCCACCTAACTGGAGGCAGCAAATTGGGTTCTTCAGCCAGACAGCATAGAGAAGGATGTGTGTCAGACTGCTGTCTGCAGGTCTGTCTGTCTCTGCATCCATCCCATTACTCAGCATCCAGAAGGTGACTTTGCTAATTTGGCTGTGTTAATTGGTTATGGTGAAATACCTGATGTAGCCTAAGCAGCAGTAAACAGCTGAGAACAAACCCATTGATAAGATTTAATATCTTACCTTGTGCCGGCAGTTGGGGTGGGATTGTAGCAGCATTTGTGGGTTTACAGCCTGGTAAAGGCCTTGTGATAGGATTTTCACAGAATTTGTGGGTTTACAGCCTGGTAAAGGCATTGTGATGTATTTTCACAGAATTTGTGGGTTTACAGCCTGGTAAAGGCATTGTGATGGGATTTTCACAGAATTACAGAAACAGAGGTGAAGAAATGCCCAGTCTTTTTCCCAGCTGGAGACAGAGTAGCTGTTTTAAAATTGCAAGGTCATTTTCTTGAGAAACAGCCTTTGTGTAACCTAAATAATCAAAAGATTGTAGCCCTCAGACAAGAGGCAAATATTTACATAAGCCTCTTAGAAAATGGCTTATGGCTGGAAAAAGTGGCCTAATATTTGAAGGCAGTGGAAGTTAACCTTAATCAGGTTTTTCTGAAGAAAATATCCAGGTGCTTTACTAGGAAATATGTGCTGCACTTGCATCACTGGTCAGAGAGAGATACTCAGTAAAACCAAAAAGTCTTTTTTCTCTAAAGAATTCTTCAGTTTGTCTACTGCATTAATCCATTATGTTTTCTATTTACAATAGATAAATTTATTATAATAATATATCGCTATCTGTCATATATATATATATGTTATCTATCTTTTATGTCTATCCATATTTTATATATATACATATTTTAATAGGGGTTTTTTCCCCCATTGCCATCATGACTGTGGTGGCATGTATGCCTTAGAATAAATAATTTAAAACACAAGTCTTGAGGGGTAAAAAGTCTCTTCTTTAATGGGAAAATCTGTGAATGAATGTCTTGAAGCAAGAAAAACTCTGGTGTTCTCAGATGAGTTCAAAAGGAAGTGATGCCACTTTGTGTGTCACTAATTTAAACCCAGAGTTTTTTCTGTGTAAAGGAGTTTTAGTAGCTTTAACTGCTAGCAAGAAAGGAATTAAAGTCTTTGCAAAATGTTAGCAAGAAAATGCACTTCATTAGCTCAGTGGGATAGAAAAGGTTACTTAAATTTTAACTACTGCTTAATGGTTGGTTTCACTGATTTCACCTTACAACACTTTAAAACTAAAATGTTCTGCAAGTGAGTGGTCACCAGACATGAGTGACAGCAGAAGCAGGTCATAAACTGGCAGCAAATGTCATGCTTAAGAATAAAACCATTGTGTTATGGGATTGACATTCAGCTATGGTTCAAATACAGAATAACCACCAGTTCTTAGGAAATTTGGCATTGCACTTTCTGTGACATAGGTAAAAAAAGAAAAAGTTTGGGTTGGTTTTTTTTTTTGAGTACTAATTTGCTGTTCTTCAGGACCTGATTTTCAAATTCCAGTTCAATTATATTTTTATTTCTCTGATTACAAATAAACTTCTTACTCCACAGCAGATTGGGCCATTAGGAAACTCCTGTGCTATAGAATGATTCTGTAATGTATTCTCAGTAAGGAGGACTTCAGGTCTCCAGAGAACACTCCAGTGGGAACTCTGTGGTTGGAAATGCAGCCAAAAATGATCTTTAATCATGAAAGTCATCTCTGCAAAGGGAATTGAGGGTGGAGTTGTTTAACCCTGGTCTGGTGTGAATAATGTAGTCCTGCAGTTGTGTGAGGTTTTCCAACTTTCCACAGCTTTTTCAAAGCTGCAATTTCAGCCAGTTTTTCCAAGATTTTAAGGTGCTAGTTATTTCTGATGTGCTAGTTATTTCTGCTGATGCAGAAATATTTTGTGTTTGCTGTTGAATCCTTTCCTTGGCATGTAGAAAAGGTAATATGCAGTTTTTGTTTGGTTTCTTTTCTTGCTCAGGTCTCTCTCTGCCTGGGTCTCATTACTTGTGCCGCTTCCAGGACAGGCTGATGTGGATTTTGGTGCTGGAAAAAGGCTTCACGTACTGTGGGGTGAACATTAAGGTAATTGCATGCTGAGCACTGAGATGTTGATGTTTGGAAATCATGCAAACATTTTGCTGTGTAACATTTCAGCAGTGTAACTGATTTACATTTAAATTTCTAAGATGAGTGTTGTACTAATTAGCCTTGCAATTTACATGAGTAGCAGATGTGAAATTTTTTTGTCATTCAGCTTGTGACAGAATATCTTTAATAAGCTGGCTAATAAGATTTGCATCAGGCAAAGATTTATTTAAGACATTGATCTGTGCCTAATATTGCAGAGAGTGCTTTGTTATTGCTGTTATCTCTGGATAGATTTGTAGATTCAGTTGTGGAAATACTGACAATCATTTTATTCAGAATAGTTCTGTTGCAGGCAAAATGCTGGCATTTAAAGTTATGTCCTGGTGAAGACTAACAGGTTTTCATGTGTGCTTTAGGGGCTAGAACTGCAGGAAACATCCTGCCATGCTGCTGAAGCTCACAGAGTGGATGAAATTTTTGAAATGGCCTTTGAACGTCAGGAGCACACAAGGATTCTGTCTCCCAATCCCCATTTTGGGCACATCCTGACTCCCTGTACTGTGGTTCCTGTGAGGCTCTATTCTGATGCCAGGAATGTGTTATCTGGAGTAATTGATTCCCATGAGAATTTAAAGCACCTGAAAGATGATTTTGTGAAAGTGCTTGTGTGGATGCTTGTCCAGTATTGTTATAAAAAATCCAAGACGTGGGAAAGCCCAGGCAGTGCCAACAAGAACAAACAAGAATCATTTCCAGAAAATCAGCACAGTGGAGCAGTGAAAGGATGCGGAGCTCTGAGGGAAGAAGACAGCTTTAGTGTTGATACAGTGGAGGACTGGACTGATGATAGTGACATTTTTGATTTTGAACCCAGTGGCAGAACAAGAGACAGAAAAGATGCTGGGCACTTGGGACTGACACCCAAAGTGCACCTGTCTATTCCAGGGTCCATAGAAACACAGAGCCAAGATTTCCTACAAGAAATGTCTCCAGAAGATAAATTAAACAGGACTGTGGTGCTTGGGCTGCCTGCTGTGGACAAAGGGAAGCAGCCAGAAGTTTTACCTCGTGTAGAATTCAGTTGCTCTTACTCAGAGCTGCTGAGCATCCCTGAAGAATGGAGAACAGCACCAGTGCCTTCTTCCAAAGTCAGTGAAATGAGGCAGAGGTTTCCTGAGGAATGGTACCACTTTGTTCTGAGCCAGCTGGACTTTTTTCATCTGCAAGAGAAGCCTTCCAGTTTGCTCACAGAGCTGGTGGAAGATAAAGCTCTGAAGGAGCTGTACATCCTGGGGGTGCTGTCGTGCTGCTTTGGGCTGTTTGGGCTGGATAACGCCGTGCCTGCCCCTCGCCACGTCTTCAGGGCATACACTGGTGGCATCCCCTGGTCTGCTGGCTTGGACTGGCTCACAGGCAAACCAGAGCTCTTCCAGCTGGCATTAAAAGCATTCAGGTAAAAGAAAACTATTCCGTGAGATTAGAAATTTATATAGAGAAGTGTCATTTCATTAATGCTTTGTTAAACCCATATAGTTTTAATTTATTTGTCGGTTTTCCCTATATAAATACAGCCCGTGACTCCGGGCAGGGAAGCCTGTGGTATGGAGGTTCTTCTTTCTTCTCCACAGCAGCTGCCTCCAGTCTGCTGTGTTAACTGGGAAAAACAACCTGTTTTCACTGACCCCAGCTCTCAACAGATGTGCTGGATTTGGATATTTGGCAGTAACCATTATCAGGCACTGGGGATGTGTTGGAGGTGAATGAGGTGTTTAAGCTGATGTGTTTTACATGTGGGTGAGCTAAAAGCACAACCAGACTGACTGGCAGGGACTCACCTGGCAAGCAGTGACTGTGGCAGAGTTGGTGGAGCCTCTCCACCCTCTGTGGCCTGAAGAGCTTTCTCCCTCCTGCCTTTGCCACACAAGTGACTGTGATATTCTGCACCTTTCAGATACACCTTTAAACTTATGCTGGACAAAGCCAGCCTGGGCCCAGTGGAGAACTTCAGAGAGCTGGTGAATTACCTGGAGGGGTACGAAAGCGATTGGTACATTGGGCTGGTGTCAGACCTGGAGTGGCAGCAGGCAGTTCTGCAGGAAAAGCCATACCTGTTCTCTCTGGGGCATGACCCAAGCATGGTAAGGAGAACAGTTACTCAGTCAAAGTTTGGGTTTATTTTTCACTGTTCTTTCTTTTTTTCCCTCATCATTGTGTTCTAAAACATGAAGGCTCTGCAACATGGTTTGTACTAAAGAGGAACTGGCACTGCTGTTGTTGAAAAGCCCACTGCACTGTTCTTCAGATGCAGCAATATTTCCTGATTATATTCCAGTGGAGGCATTGAACTGAGGGGACTGGTTTATACTTTGCTGTGTTTAAAGTGTTCATAGAGTGCAGCCCTGTTACTGTCATGTCTTTTTGAAAAATCCTTTTGCCCAGGATTTTCTCCTAGGAAGCTGAGAGGCCTCAGAGAAAAATGAAAACAATAATTATCTCAGTTTGCTTTTCCTAAAGCAATTTCTAAACCACATTCTAAAGCAGCAGTGTTTTGCTGCTTTAGAATGCGGTTTAGAAATTGTTTATCCAACAGATGGTTGTTTGATTGGTTTCATGTGAATTGTTTTTACTTGACCAATCACCATCAGGCTGTGTTGGACTCTGAGGAGTCAATCATGAGTTTTTAGTTAGGATACTTACAGAAGGCTTAACAAGATACTTTCTCTATTCTTTAGTATAGTTTAACATTCTTTTATTATTTTATGATTTTATATTATATGAATTAACCTTCTAAAAACATAGAGTCAAATTCAGTTCCTCCTTCATCCTGAAAACCCCAAAAACACCACACAGCCCCAAAGCTTCACTCAGAGCTCTGTAACCAAAACGCTCTCGTCTCTTCTCCGCCAATGTCTTGGACATCCTGATCTGTTTGTTCTTGCAGGGAATTTACACAGGGCGAGTCCTCACTCTGCAGGAGCTGCTGGTCCAGGTGGGAAAGCTCAATGCAGAAGCTGTGAGGGGCCAGTGGGCCAACCTGTCCTGGGAGCTGCTCTACGCCACCAACGACGACGAGGAGCGCTACAGCATCCAGGCGCACCCGGCGCTGCTGCGCAACCTGACCGTGCAGGCGGCCGACCCGCCCCTGGGCTACCCCGTCTACTCCTCTCAGCTCCTGCAGCTGCCCCTCTTCTAGGCTGGGCTTTCTCAGTGCTGGATCTTGCTGCTTTGTCTTTTTCCTCTGTGTGGGGCAGTCGAGTGCCCACGCTGCCCTGTGTGCTGCAGATCAGGTGTTACTCGCAGGGTGGCGGTGCCAGGGCAGGGCGTGTCCTTGGCACAGAGGTGGTGCTTGCCAGAGCCTGCAGCAAGGTGGGGGCTGGTTTCTTGCTGCTGGAATACAAGACACCCTTGTGGCTGGTGAGCCACATGCTGCAATTCTCCACCTTAAAGAAAAGCAGCATAATTCTTATCATTACCATAATTCTGCTCATTAACTATTTTTGGTGCATTCTGATTTATTTTTCCTTTTTATTTCCCGTGGACAGGTGACCTGCACTGCCAGTCAGGTTATGGCCTCTTGTAGTGTTGTCAACCCCAGAGTTGGCAACCAAAGTGTACATAGGACTATTTATATGAATTTTTTTATTCTGGCCATTTTATATTGGACTGAGTTCAGTTCTAGCATTTGTTATATAACTCTCACTGATCTTCCTTATGTGCAGTAAGTTATCAGCCATACTTTAACTAAGGGACAATTTTTACCAAACTACTTGTTTTGGTAGAAAGAACTTTATATAAACCAGTGTGTGCTCTGACACATTGATAGCCTGTGTGACTTTACTGATGAAAGAAGTAAATGTATATAATTAGATAATTAGGGGACAGAGGAAATTTTAAGATCAAATGCTGTGATTTCATCTCCTTCTTCCAGTATCCATATATATGATATATATATCTGTATACATATATATATATGTATATATATATATATATATATGTTGTTACTTTCAACCTCTCTCCACCTCCCCTAACCAGTCTTCCTCTTCTAACCTCTCACAAATGCAGTGAGAGCTTCATGATGGGGGGTGGAAATCCAGCCAGAAGTATTTATTTTTTTAACCTCACTACAGGCTGGAGCAGACCTGGACAGCTGGTTTGTAGCATTACAGGTCACCTTGAAAACAGGTCCAGGTCCAGTTTCCAGTGGCTCATTTATCCTGTTCACTACCACCAGTCTTAGCACATAACTGTGTTTCCTCAGCAGTACAGTGGTTACACTGTAGGCAGATGCTGAGCAGGGAGTAGGTAATTGTATTTCCTAGTACAGAATCAATTTAAATCAGAAACTGAAGCAGTACTGGTTTGGAACACCCAGCCTTGTCTGGGTCCAAGCACATTTATTACTTTTACTCCTCACCTTTAAAACCTTTTGACTCATATGAAATTTGCCACAGAACCTTGTCTTGGGCTGCTGGCTGTTCCTTTAGATAGTGGCCAGAAATGGTTTTTAAAAGCTATGCAATGGTGTGGTGGGTTTCTAAATCAGGTTGGTGCCACACTGGGCCCTGAGCTGTCTGGAAATACAGAGCCATGGATGTGATGTGGAGGGGGCTTACAGAGAGCCCCCATTTCAGCTCCCTCTCCCAAGGAGGCAAATGTTTACTCTGATTTAAAACTTCCAAGGCAAGGAGTGTCATGAGCTCCTCAAGCAGTTCCAGTTCTTTGCTGCTCTTGCAGCAGCTGGAAAGTTGGAGCTATTTCCTAAATCTAATTTACCCTCCCTTGTCCCATTGTAAATTTCTTACTACTTGTCTTCCATATGGTCACAGAAAATTTAATTATCTTTTTTTGCAGCAGTCCTCACTCAAAGATGGCTGTAATTTCTGCCTTTGTCTTTTGTAAAGTGAATAAACCAGTTGAGTAAGAGCTGAAGAGAGCTGTGATCCTTTTCCCTTCCTTTCTCTGGGCTGTGTCCATCTGGTCCCCAGCCTTGAGGAGAGCTGCTGCTAACTGGGCCCAGTGTTCCAGCAGAGATCCTGACTGGCACCAGATGGAGCAGCACAATGAGCAATGGGCAGAGTTCCTGCTGGAGCACAGCAATGTGGAGCTGGGCTGTGCTGCCCTGCCACATCCTGTCCCCTGCTGTCACTGCTCACAGAGCCCCTGGCACAGCCCTGAGGCACAGTACCTGTCTGCATCCTGCTTTTGGCATAAAGAGGAGATAAAGCTTTTGTTCTGTCTCAGATCTGTGCAGCTGAGTGCCCCTGTTCAGCTGGTTTGTTTGCTTTGGAGCATTTCTTTGATTTATCTGGAATTCAGGAACTGGAGCACCTTCAGCTCTGGCCTTGTCTGTGCTCACAGGCTGCTGCAGGGATTACTGATGGCATCCTGCTCTCAGCAGGACCCATTGTTATCCCTTGTGACCCTGTTTTCTAACCAGGGGTGTGCAGAGCTTTATTTAGTTCTTCCAACACCTCCTTGCTTTAGATTGTGATGTTGATCACACACAGGGCAGTGTAAGGGCAGCAGAGCTGAGAAAGGGGCAGAGGGTAAGTCCTGATGTGTCAGAAATGAAAGGATTTAGCCTTGAACACACATTTTGCTCAAGGAACACATCCCAAGCACAGACCAGACACCCTTACTCTCCACACCACACCCTTCTCCTTGTGGGGTTTTGTTAATCAACATGAATTAAGAATGAAAGTGAGGGAAGCAGGATGCTGGGGTCTGTCATTTTAGGCTGCTCACCAGGTATTTGGCTGTGTTAGAGCAGCAGCTCAGCCTCTCGTGTGTTTCATTCCTTGTAAGCTTAAAAATCCAGCCTGTGGGAGTTTGACATGAAACAGGTGTGTTTAGAAAGATTTTTATTTAGTCAAGTATGTCATCAGCTTGGTAGATCTGTCGAGTTACAGGATGACAGAGACATAACAAAACCCAAAAAAAGCTGTTGTTTGCAGTCATGCAACATGAAAGGTTTCTCAGCCTTAGCCCAAGTACAGCAGGATTTCTTACACACTCGTCCTCACTTCCTCTTCCTTGAGTAAGAGGCATCAGCATCCTGGGGGGAGAGGACATGAAATCAGTATTTCCCCACCCTGTGTTAAAAACAACACAGTGAGTGAAAGACTTCCTTTGAAACAGCTTGTGACCAGGGGCAGTTAGAGTGTGAAAGCACAAAGTTTTAAGCTGCATGTGCCACCCTTACTTTTGCATTTCCTGTACTTGATTATTTACTTGAGGTGCTTTTGTGGAGCTGCACTTCAGCTCTCCCTGTGTCCCAAAGCTCCCTGGGTGAGACACAGGCTCAGTCACACTTTCCCTGCTCTCAGAAGAGCTCCTCCAGTGGGCCTACAGCCTATTCTTACTGTCATATATGCATTTAATTTACATCATATGGGGTCAATAAATGTACACACCATGGATAACTGCAACAATTTCCATCCCAAAACTCCTAAGCAGTGATCCTGCCCTGCACATCAGGGCTCTAAGTGCGACTGAGGAGCAACACAATCCCAACAAACATTGCCACAGCAGAGTGCAACAAGCAAGAGGGGGCAGAGGGGCGCTGTGCACACTCACAATTCCACTCTTGAAGTTCTGGATCCTCCTCTTGCCCATCCTGTTCATGAGCCACCAGGCCCAGGTGGGGGCGTACTGCCACAGGTAGCACACGGCCAGGTAGGGGTGGTCGCTGATCCACGCCTCCTTCACGTCGTTGGCCACGCTCACCAGGGTGAGCCGGGCACAGCGATCCGTGGGCATCTTGTGGGACTGGTCCCCGCTGTTCTCGATGGACTGGGGGGGCACAGAGCAGGGAGGGGTTACAACTGCAGCCCTGGGAGTGACAGGGAGGGAAAGGGGCACGCTCCATGCCACAGGCATATTCCTCCTTGTTTCCCCACAAGAACTCACCCAGAGAATGGGGCAGGAGAACCCATCCCTCACTATCCTCTGGTTTCTGTGTGGGAACACTTTCCACCTTCCTTTGGCTCAAATTTTAACCCTTTTAATTAATGCCTCTCTTGATGGGTCAAAGTTTTTTAAAAAATGGATCTCCAAGCTCTATTCTGCTTCAGCAGGGCTTCCACTTGATGGGGATTGTTGAACAAATTCCCCCATCTGCAGCTCTGACGAATGGGAACTCCCCAGGTCCCGGCTGTGCCTGGCCGCACTATAAGCTGTGCCCATACTACACTACAAGTTACTCAAGTACCCAAGTGAGTAGGTGAAGTCACATTCCCCATAAACCTAAATATTTCTGCCAGTTCTCTCCATCTCAACCTAGAGAGAAGCAGCCAGCTGCTTTGGAGCAGGGACATCAGCCTGTTTTGTCACTGTATTATTTAGTGAACACAAACCACAGCCCTGTGAACTTGTGCACATTTCACTCAGCATTAACAGGCCACTGCAATCTGTCCTTCTGTTTCACAGGGCAGAAGCAGTTCTGGTCGAGATTTGCTCCTCCTCCCTGGTCTTCTGCCACAGTGAAATCTGAGGAATGTGTTTTGCAACTTTCACCATTGTTCAAAAAGTACACTTTTTCTTTCACGCAAGTCAGAAGTTTTGCAACACAAAAATCATTCCAGAACTTGATTCAAAAATGAGAGATCCCCTCCTCCTCTCTGGTGGGTCATCCTGAGCTTCAAATCAATTGAATTTAGGGCAGATTGCAGTCTGATGTATCACAGTAGCAATTTTTGCCAGCTGCTTTGTCAGACAGCCTTCACTAAAAGCCATTGTGCTGTTGGAAGGTTTGTGCTTTTCCTCCTGGAACAATCCCTAACAGGAAAGGAATGCCACAGCTCATGTCAGCTGAGCCAGGGCTGTGCCAGCAGCAGCAGCGTCACCCAGCAGGGCACAGCGTGACCAGGGCAAACAAAACCCCACCTGTGCAAGGACAGCACTCCCCAGCAGAGCTGTGGCCAGAAAATCCTGGCTTTCCCCCCAAAACTGCAGCACATGGGCTGTGCAGCACGTTTTACTACACTTGGGTTGTTTGTGTTGGAAGAGAGAAGGAATAGCAATTATTAAACTTAATTTTCAGTTGATACCACCAAGAATTACAAGATATACACAGTTCTGCACCACTCAGAGCATTTCTTGGTAAGAAGATGAGGTTAGTGTTTGCAGGGAGGATAAAACCAGACAAAGATACCCCACAAAGGATCACTGGCCCCACAGCAGAAGTTGGGTTTGTCACAGCAGAACTGAGCCCTTACCTTTGCAAGATTCTCAGTAAAGA